AATAGAAATATTGGTGCGGTTCTTTGTTTTAAAGTATACAAGCTACGGCACCATTAATTCATCGATTATTAGCTACAAAGAAGTAAACTATAGTTTGCTACATCCGAGTCATTCAAACTCTTTCTTAACAAAATGGCGGGCTTTTAACAGACTTTTTGAATTCATAGCGTACTTCACCAAAAAAAGTTTGTACAAAGTCCGCATGTGGTCACACCGTCTAATTTAGTCAAGATGTACTCTGTGGTTGTAAAGTCCTCATGTGGTCACACCGTCTAATTTAGTCAAGATGTACTCTTTTGTTGTATAATTAAAGGGATATTCAACAAAGGTTAGGATTTCATAGAATGCTTTTGAAGAAAACTGTACAAAAATATCTATTTATGTTCTTATGGAAATCATACATCTCATTTTTAATTTTTTTTTCGCTTTTACATTTGATCATTTTCTCGTTTTCGATCATTTTCTAGTTTTCGATCATTTTCTAGTTTTCAAAATATATTTCGTTTCATATTTCATAGTTTATATGCAGACACAGACACAGACACACACACACACACACACACACACACACACACACACACACACACACACACACACATACATACAATTATTCAATTTTCAGTTACCAACAGCCTGATCAATCATACCTGGAGCCCTGTTTCTGTGTTGGTCGTATCAACTCTTACCACATCAACTGAGCTATCGGCACAATTAACCAGTGGAGGAGTAATTTAACCTTGATCGCAGAATTTAAATAGAAGTGAGCAACTTACAAAATTTATATATATATACGACATTTTCTGGTTCTGTTTTAAATAAGGTTTTTTCCTGAGTTCAAACTTAAATAATTTTACTATATCAACATATGTTGTTCTTGATTCACTAAGGTAATACCATTTGTATATAACAAAACCATTTAGAGATAAGAAAGTGTTAATACCATCATAGGCAGGATAAATAATCTTATATCCAAACACTAAATATTTCAAGTTTCTTAAATTCATAGTATAACAGTTTTCGTTTGTCGTAATGCTCCATCTTTTTAATAAGATGCCATTGGGAGTTATATTATGAAATAATTTCCACCGGAAAGTTTTTGTCGTCGTTCTCAATAAGAACCTTGAAGACAAATCGGGAAAAGTTTGAAAAAAAGTAACAAATATTTTCCATTAAATTTAATTTATCTTCCCATGCTTCAAAGGTATATTTGTACGTATTTTGTGATCCCTCAGTATCGCGTAGACATCTTTATTACTTATGTTTTGTAAAGTTTGTATCTCGATTTATTTACACGTAGACCTACTTTCGTAGAATTCGCACAACTGATTTGGATTTTTCAGTTCTCAATTCCTCTAACCCTAATCTTGGTATTGCTTGTTTTACGGATACTATTTCAGCTATCCAGTTACGCTAACATTTTAATTTCTGATATATAAAATTGTCGTCAATCTTTCCGTCACCTGTAACAATATCATTAATAGATATAAGACCCGAGTCAATCCAATTCTTCAGGCATAAAGCTTTACCATTAAGTGTCATATAATTGTTACCCCAGATCACTTGCTGTTTTATTTCCCTGTAATTTTTAATTTCACCATTATCTTTATGTATTTTATACCATGCACATAGTATATCCAAATAGAAACTAGGTAATTCGTGGATATTTGGCAATTTTATTTTATAGATCCTGTATTCATTTTGAATACCACTTCATTGTACCCCATAAACAACGTCGTGTCATCAGCTAGCTGAGATACCTTTACATACTTAATTTTTATTTTTATACCACGATAATCTGTTGTGTTGCGTGATTTACAGACCAGCAGCTCCACCGGAATCACAAATAATAAACAAGATAGAGGGCAGCCTTGTCTGATACCATGCGATATCTTATAACATCCGGTTATTGTTTTTGACACATCCTTTAATATTAGTATATAATGTTTTAACCCAATGAATAAATGATTCTCCAAAACCAAATTTGTTCAAGCTACTCATCATAAATTCCCACTCAACTGTATCAAAAGCTTTAGAAAAATCTAAAAAATACTATACAAGAATTAATGTTAAACTTCTCCGAAAAATCAATTATGTCTTTTATTAGTGTGATGTTGTACCCGATAAATCTACTCCGTACATAACAGTTTTGATCCGTATTATTTTTCTTTTTTAACATGAAAGTTTTAATTCGAATCGCTGTAGAATGAGCCGTTATTTTGTAATCTGTGTTAAGTAAAGTAATCGGCCTCCAATTTCATAAATTTAGTGTATCGTTCTTTTTGTAAATAAGAGAAATTACTCCTTTCGTTTGGGCAGCACTTACTTCACCCCTTCTATAAGAATCACTCAGTGATCCAACAACAGTTGTCTACCGTCATTCCCCGGACTTTTGTTTAACTTCATTTGTAAAACTGCATCTTCATATTCCTTCATTGTCAACTCCCCATCACAGCACTTTCTTTCACCCTCGTCAATCACATTTTCAACATTACAATTTTTTTTATACCTCAATTTTATCTGGATTGTTTTATTTGTATAACTCGGGGTAGAATTTCTCAATTTCACAAAGAATCTTTTCAGGATCTTTCTCAATTTCCCCATTTTTCATACGCAATTGTGTAATTGTACTTTTAACTGTCTCTGTTTCTCCATACCTAAAAAGTATTTGATAGTTATTTCCCCATTTTATATCCAGTTAACCCTTGCTCTTATCTGGGCACCCCTGACTTTATCCTAGTATTGGCCATTTAACTGGTTTTCTAAATCATTAATTGTTTCCTGTGTTTCCATGCATGGATGCTCACCATATTTTACCTTCTTTCTTTTAAGATTTTTTCCAAAGAGCAATATCATTTCTATTGTTTTTTTACTTTATTCTTACAATATTCTAGTGTTTTGTGTTTAATCATCATTTTACAGTAATCCCACGATTCTGCTTGATTCAAACTTGGATTGTTTTCCAGAACGTCATCGACTACTTTTTCTATGAAGTGTTTATACTCATCGCTCTCCTAGACACTATTCTTCTATTTCTAGATTCCACTCCCTTTAGTTTTTGTTTTTTCCATTTTCAAAGACACTGCTAAATGGTCAGTACATCTTATCTGTGCTGGCCTTTTATCGCAGTTTTTTTCATGTCATTAATATTATTTTCAATCAAAGTATAATAATCAAGTCTCCTTGCTTCCTCCGGTGTTTTCCTCCTCCATGTAAATTGTCGTTTGTTTGTATTACGGACCCTCTATATAACAATTAAACTATTGTTCTTTGTTAATTATTTCAGTCCATATGTGTTTCTAAAATCCCTCTTATGATTTCTTGATATAATATCTATTTTTTCTTTGGCTTCATTGAAATCCCCTCCTATGATAACCATGCCTTGTTTGAATTCGTTTCATTAATTGTTCATATTCTTTAAAAAAAAAATATTTTTTTCATCATTTGTCGCATATAAATTTAATATTGTATAGAAATTATCCTCAACCTCTAAATTAAGCATCATATTTCTGCCTTCTTCATCAAACGTTCTGTTTATTACAGATACCGACATGTTTTGCTAATTAGAATGGTTACCCCTCCACTATTTGTTTTACCGAAGCTATGATAAGCATCAGACGTATGTCTCCCTATTTATTTGACCTATCAACTCCTTAGAGAAATGTGTCTCTTGTAGGAAATCTATTCCAAATTTTTGGTTTTTAAGCCATTTATATAACCTATGTAGCTTTTCTTTATCGCATCATCTTTGTACATTTAATGTCAACAAATGTAAAACATTCATGTCATTTTCTTTAATTATTTCCCCGATTTTTTGCCTTCTTGTCTGTTTCCTCCACTTGCGTAGATGGTGATCTCTGTTTTGATTTGCTTCTGTCTCTTGTCCTGTTTTGTGTCTGGTCCTTCTGTTGAGTAGCTGTCTGGAGGAAACGCTTCATTGGTCTTGTGGTACCTTTTCCTTGTTTTCTGTCCGGTGTACGATCCCTGTTCTCTTTTGGTTCCTGTCTATTGTTCCTTGCTTGTTTCTCCTTGTTCTTGTTTGTCTTTGTCTTCTTTTCAATTTTGTGTTCGTCGACGATCTTCTCCGTCTCATCTTCGCCGTCACTGTCAGTCGAGCCGTTCCCTGTGAAATCTGTGTGGTCACATTCACTCTGTTTGTGTCAAACTTCATTGCAGAAATTGTATACCCAGCCTGTTGTGCACTTATAAGATGAATGACCATCCCCTTTACATTTTACACAGTAGATTTTTCTTTCGGTACTTGTGTCCGATAAATGGGTTGGCCATAATACCCAAGTCCAGCACTGTACTTTCCAACCTTCAGAAGTTTCGAAAGATGACTCGACAGTTTTTCAACAATAACTATACGATCACCAGTGTCGTAGTTAATTAATTTAGTATTCACCCTTAGCTTTTTACGGTACAGATCAAGTATTTTACAACTCTTCAGCGCAGTTGCCCGGCGTAGCTGGTCATCCGACAACAGTACGCTGGAAATGCGTAATTTAGTCGTCCTAACGGGATCGTATTTTGGGCTATTTGGATTCTCAGATAGGAGAATAATCTCTTTATTGATTTAAAATCAATTTACCATTTAGATAAGCTCTTGAAATTTAATTTGCAGAAATTGTTTATAGATCTAGCAAGGTTGATTTACAAAGATTCGCACGACCCTGATTTCCTCATAACAGATGTGCGTTGTGATAAGCCGAAGAAAATGAAATATTTGTCTAAATTATGTTATCAACAGAAAAGTAATAAAATTGTAACCTGTCAGAAATTTTAGTGAACAACATACACGCCGAAATCTACGACCCAGTTACCTTACAATTTCGGATTTCTCGATGCGCTACATTTTTGGTTGTACATGTGTATATTCCCACCAATTTCGCCTGTCTAAACTGACGACAGGACGGATATTTTGATGCCAACAAAAATTTTAAAAGTCATTGGAATTAGTTCTTAGAAAGTGCAGAACAGACAGAAATTTTGCAGATTGGGCGGAATACCCCTTCAATGGGTTTGCCTGGCGTTTGTTTCTTTGGCGCGTCCGGAATTGTACGATAGCCGTTCTAAGGATCTATGCTTAGTTGACAAAACAGTTTGACAAGTTTGCCGTCTCCGTGACTCCTCCCGGACACCGTCGGTTGGTTTGACAAATTTTCCGTCCCCGTGACTCCTCCCATTTCCGGGAAACGTCAGTGTTCGGAAGATGTAAGGAAAATAATTAAAACTGCTTACTTTTATATTTAAAATGTATTATTTAAAGAAAAGAGTTTCTATTCATAGGGGAAATGAAAGGTGAGAAGAAAAGGGTTAGAGATGTGATATGTGACGGACTATTTTATTTGTTGTTTTACTTGAAGAAAGACAAGGATATCAAACAGAATAACTTTTTTTCATTTACTACAGGTTTTTCTAAATTTTCGATAAAAGTACTTATTGTTATACCCTTCAGCAAGTTATAGTGTTCTTTAGTAATGTTGACTAAATCGCTGACTCTTATTTAAAACATCTGTTTCTATAGATATATTGTTTACTGATCAATTTTTGATATTATCAACAATAAAAATAAGACTTCCGTCATGAATAAACCCAAATAGGAAGGATTGTTGGCTGATTGAATAATGTATATTAAGAACATCTAGGAGTGCGTCTAGACTTTCTAATGGATTTTGAACTTCTTGGAATTCCCACATTAAGAGAGCAACAGTCTTTTTCTGAATTTCTGAGTAGCAAAATGAACACAATTGACTAGCAACTGCAATAGGAAAATGCTCTAGTTCCATGCTAGTATAAAAAAATTAACCTTTTTGGCAAACTGATAAATCCGTTATTTATTCGTTGTTTAGTGTGTACATTGTAAATCATTTGAGTATTTCACATCATTGAATGACAACAGATATTCTATTTATACAACACAAAATCCAATAGACCTGCCGCAAGGCGGCGTTTTGTCATTGACTCCTCAAACCTGCCGCAAAGTTGCGTGTTGTCATTGACTCCTCAAACCTGCCGCAAGGTGGCGTGTTGTCATTGACTCCTCAAACCTGCCGCAAGGTGGCGTGTTGTCATTGACTCCTCAAACCTGCCGCAAGGTGGCGTGTTGTCATTGACTCCTCAAACCTGCCGCAAGGTGGCGTGTTGTCATTGACTCCTCAAACCTGCCGCAAGGTGGCGTGTTGTCATTGACTTCTCAAACCTGCCGCAAGGTGGCGTGTTGTCATTGACTCCTCAATCATTATTAAGGAAGCGGAGTGAGGTGTTCTTTCTGTGTTTTATTTTTTCATTTTTTTTTCGTCTGGAAACGAATCAGGAATTTTTTTTTACATACAATGAAAAGTTATTTATATAGAAATATTTAGAATCTATTCCATTCTCTTTCATCAAATAAGAACTATTTTCGCCATTTTATTCTACGCGAAGATACAAAATCATTAAGAACAGAGTAGAAAAAAAATAAATCCACGAGTGTTTTGCAAGAAGATCTTTATACTGGAGGTAAGAAAGGACGAATAACTGATTTAAAATTTATTGGCAAAGGGTCTGACAGACATTTCCGAGACTAGAATTAAAATTTATTCGTTTGCTAGACTCATCACACCGTGAACAACCAGGGTTGTTTTGAGGCGGGATCTCCTTGTATAGAAGATGGTGACAACCTCACTGAACAAGATACGGGAGGCCCATCGATAGTCGCCAAGACCAACTGGGATTAAGTACCTTGCCAATGGCACAGCTATAACACTGACTGGTCCGGTTCTAAACTTACTGATATATACAAACCGTCACTTTTCGGAACATTAAAATATGCACCCCGTATCCTCACTTGAGGTCCCATGGGCCAGCATTCTATCGACAGAGCTATCACAACCCTTTCTTAGAACTTAGAGGGGATGTACTGAACTATATGTATCAGCTGAATTTAATAGGCAATATGAATACAAAGAGAATCACATAATTAAACGTGCTTATAGACAAGTATTTAGAAAGCACAAGGAAGCAGAATAAGACCAGATGTTTAGGGAAGGTAAGCGGATTATCAACTACAACCAGCCAACTTTTACATAATCTACAAATCATCCGTTCGTTAATTAAGGTCCGGAAACAACAAACTAATACTAGAATAAATAAGAGCGTGATACAGACTACCACTAAGATGATTACTGAAGACACCTTACTAACATTGACTAACACACCTTGGTCTCGAGTGGCATTGCCTTCAGCAACCAAATTACACACTATGCATATTATACCCTTAATTTGGAAACTAGGTCATACTGATTTATTTCCAAAAACTACTAAAATCCTAGAATGAATTGAACACATCCTCCATCGTTTTTGAGCACATCCGCCATCGTTTTTAATTGCCTATTAAAATCTAAATTGTGGCAAGGTTTTCGTGACGCTGAATAATGAAGAGTTTTGGCTTCAGTTTTTCAACTGGCAATCACGGTGAATAGCCCAACCAAGATCAGAATTTATGATATAATCTTGTTTAATGAAATATAGGACATTTTAATAGGTATCCGGGCTTATCCGTCACTTTTAAGTTTAATCTACACAACCGTTTGCCGACATTTTAAAATAACAAGAAAACACTAGCTTATCAGTATAATCACAATCCAAATTAAAATACAATACTAGGGCAAAATATGAATATTTACAGATTTACAGAGAGATTTCTGAAAAAGTACAGGAAAAAAGACCATGTGTTCCGGAAGAGTAAGCTCATTTCATGTGTAAATCGGGATAGACCCATACATACTGAAACAGGCATCAGAAAGCTTATTAGTCGAAGTTTGGCAGTAGGTCAGCCCTTATTTCATAAACGATAATCCTTATGCAACAGGTTTAACGGATAATCGGAAACGGTCTTGGAAAGCAGCTCATCACTCCATGAAACATAGGAAATTAATTTGAGGGTTTTTTCACTTATTTTTCAATTATAAGGATTGTATGGTAAATAGAATCTTAAACTCACCACATTGTAACATGGACTATATCAAAATCATTAAATGATTTGATATGTCACACGCCTAAACGCTAGTAAACAAATCATTGAACTCATTCAGTAACATTCATCCTCTATTTCCTTGTAAAATAGTTGGTTCGGTTGAATCGAGGTTTTACTCCTTTCTCGCTGCATTAGTTTACAATATTAGTTGTATTGTAAAAAATAACTACACAAATAAATAAAACAATGTGAAAGAGGGCTGACTGGCACGTGCTGGTGGTAAAAATTACGGTCGCAGCATATTGCATTCCGTGTCTTGATATAGATGAAACTAATTGAAGATAAGCAAATTTCTTCTACACGTAGCTTCCTTCTATGGAAAAGAAGAAACACGATTCAGTAATGAACTTTATTTCAATAAGCAGAAATCAGCATTAACGTTTTACGTGTGCACACTCCTTACACGAAACGTGACTTTTCGAAACATATCGGCCAAATTTGTCAAAGCACGCAAAACTCCGAACAAGATCCACGTTGCGTGCTTGAACAATTCAGTCTGGCCGTGACGTTTGCCCAAACATCACGGGAAATGTTTCAAAAAGAGTTGCTGTCACATGTTTAGTGGTTAAATGGTTTGGTGAAATGAAACTGACATTATTATTTGTTTCAAATACAAAAATCTTGCCAAGAAATCACTTTGAATACCATAGGAATGTTTGTTTCTCTTTTTTATGTCCCTTTTTTCATTACGGCTTATTTCTTTTGTCATTTCGTGTTGGCGGGTTTTCTTTAATCAAATCAGCCAATATACATGCAATTGTTCTGTAGATCATTTTGTTACTCCTGTAGAATCCTAAACTAAGGAGTCAACACTAGGGACTATGGGAAGCCTTTGCATACATGTAAAGAATTTGTGCAGACCCCTTAATTTCTTTTCATGCAAGAATAGCGACGAGAATCCTTTTCCGTCAAAATTCAAGATCTAAGATGGCTATTTTTATTTTTTTCGGTCATGCAGTCCTCAGATTGATGTTGCACAGCTAGGGACAAGGAAAATCTACATCTAAGGTTTGAGACTGATACCTCGAGCATTTCCCAAATATAGCAACGACAAGAGTTTGTGTAGGATAGACGGATGAAGGGAGAAATAAAAGACTATAATCTGTCCTTCTCCACAATGCATGGCGCGTCATTTCATTACTTGTAGAAACAGGAAGCAAAATAAAATCCGAGAAATGGGTTTGGTGCGGACAAAATTGTTAATTGTAAATTGTGTGTCCCCTCTAACTCCGGTCATAAGTCCGCGCTTGGTCCGGTCATTTTGATATTAATTTGTAAAATGACGCAGGTAGATAGCGACTACACTAAGTATATGTTGTCAGTTAAATGTTCTTGTAGGTAGAGAAGCAAACGACACAATACTACAATGGAGCAGCGTGTTTGGATGGTCTTTTCTGTAAGATTACCGGAAGTGTTTGTCGTGTTGTTGTTGTTGTTTGTTTTGTTTATCGCCGAATCAACATCCAGGTTAATTTTGGGATAGAATCTCCTTGTAATAGATAGTATTCCCGGAACGAGTTCCTGGTGACTACCTCACTGAACAAGTTACAAGAGGTTCGCCATACACCAATCAGGGGGAGGTTCGTCATACACCAATCAGGTGGAGGTTCGTAATACACCAATCAGGGGGAGGTTCGTCATACACCAATCAGGGGTGAAATTGTTACTTAACATGAAACTCAATATGATTTCATTCTTCGGCGTCTAAAGCCATTGTAAATGATGTCAATGAAATAAAGTGCTGCATTCCCCTTGTTTTGGCTGTATTTTTCGTTCAATGAAATAAAGTGCTGCATATAAAGCAAAAACAAAAATCGTGAAAGACTTGAACATACGTGTTACACTCACCTGCACCCACTTTACAGAACAAATGCTTGTGCATTCTGACAAGCAACATACAGAAAGTTACCATCTGTGCTGCACAAAGAGAAGTAAATCTTACACATGCTTCTGTGCGTGTTATTCTGCACTACGCTTTAGTTAACTTTAATCGCGGCCATTTCTGTACTGAAGAATGTTCTATTTCAACATCTGGTCGGAAAATAAGCAAGTAAGATATCGTTTGAATCTAACAATTTTTCAGCAACTTGTTAAATAGTAATTTGTAAATAAATTAAATGACAGAGTCAAAGCTCGTAGATGTTGATTTAACATGTCCAGTATCATACGTAACACTGTAACACTGTCCAGTATCATACGTAACACTGTAACACTGTCCAGTATCATACGTAACACTGTCCAGTATCATACGTAACACTGTCCTACACTGTCCAGTATCATACATAACACTGTCCTGTCTCATACGTAACACTGTCCAGTATCATACGTAACACTGTCCAGTATCATACGTAACACTGTCCTGTCTCATACGTAACACTGTCCAGTATCATACGTAACACTGTCCAGTATCATACGTAACACTGTCCTACACTGTCCAGTATCATACGTAACACTGTCCAGTATCATACGTAACACTGTCCTGTCTCATGCATAACACTGTCCAGTACCATACGTAACACTGTCCAGTCCCATACGGAACACTGTCAAGTATCATACGTAACACTGTCCTACACTGTCCAGTGTCATACTTAACACTGTCCTGTCTCATACGTAACACTGTCCAGTATCATACGTAACACTGTAACACTGTCCAGTATCATACGTAACACTGTCCAGTATCATACGTAACACTGTCCAGTATCATACGTAACACTGTCCAGTATCATACGTAACACTGTAACACTGTCCAGTATCATACGTAACACTGTCCAGTATCATCCGTAACACTGTCCAGTATCATACGTAACACTGTCCAGTATCATACGTAACACTGTCCTACACTGTCCAGTCTCATACGTAACATTGTCCAGTATCATACGTAACATTGTCCAGTATCATACGTAACACTGTCCAGTATCATACGTAACACTGTCCTACACTGTCCAGTCTCATACGTAACATTGTCCAGTGTCATACGTAACATTGTCCAGTATCATACGTAACACTGTCCTACACTGTCCAGTCTCATACGTAACAGTGTCCAGTATCATACGTAACACTGTCCACTATCATACGGAACACTGTCCAGTATCATACGTAACACTGTCACTGTCAGTATCATACGTAACACTGTCATACCCTGTCCAGTCTCATAACACTGTCCAGTATCATACGTAACATTGTCCAGTATCATACGTAACACTGTCCAGTATCATACGTAACACT